TTACTTTTTCTTTGTTCATTTAAAAAAAATATAGGAAATCACATTTTATAGCTGTGTTCATTTAAATATTAATATACTAATATTATATATTAAAACATATTCCTGGACCAAAGGTTTAATTTTTTTTCTTGTGATTTTAAAAGAAAGCATTTTCATAGGTGCCAAAGGAATCCCATGGGTGACTACTGGGCCCTTTGCAAGACGCTGAAGTGTCAGTCCCCTGGCCACTGCCCTTCTTTGCTTCTTGATTGACCCATGAACACCTAGGTAGATTGCTTGCTTCTGTGTCTCTCAAAAACCTGTCGTCAATGCCCCTTCACCTTCTACTAGTCTTGTCATTTTTCTCTTATTATAGGTGTCAGAATAGTCCCCAAGGTAGAGCTAGGAAAATCTCTTTTCTGCCGAGACACCTATACACATTGCTTAATCCTCAAATCTTTTTGTCCCGTATCAAATTATATCAAGACTGGAGTGAGTGGCACAGCCCCAGCTCATAACACCCAACCTGACACTGACTGTGTGTTAGCCCAGCTGAGACACAATCACAGGTATGCATATGCTCAAGGGCACACTAGCAGGTTCACCCTCTTTAACTCCAAGGTGGCCTCTTTCTGTTAAGCCAGGCATCCAATGATTGGAGCTTGCCCCATATTCTGGGAAGGAGCATTCTCATTTATTACAGCTCAAAATAAGTTTGCATTTCTCCGTCCAGCACAAAGCTTTGAAAAGAATGATGACACGGGACATTTCAGGAGAATTTGCAAGGATCGCTAATAAGTACTGCACGTCTAGGTGTTTGAATGAAAATATTTTCTTCTTCAGAACTCTCCAAGCTCAGAATCGCCCCCCTGGCAACGCTTCATGTCCTGCATGTCTTTGGAAATCAGTTTTTGAGGAAAAGTAAATGCAGTAAGAATTTGTCTGTAGCAGCATGTTTTTTTTAGAAAGAGAAAGCCTCTGGGGGACAGGATAGAGAGATTGCTAAGGATAAAGTTTGTAGGTCATGAGACAAAAAGTAAAGTTGTCTCCTTCTACCCTGAAGCCCCTAGAGAGAATTTAGGAGATTTATGACATGGTCCTTCTTCTTTCTTGGGTCCATTGTGGCCGCTGGCAGGGTTCCAACCTTGCAATGCTAAACAACTCTATCAAAGATCAGTGCTTCCTGTTACCTCTGTATCCTGAGTGTGGGCTTTTTGTTTTAGCTCATGTTATGGATTTGATGTTCCCCATGGGGCTATGACAGATTGAACCCTAGAAGTGGATACCTGGGCTCTCAGAAGTGATGCTTATCATCAGGAGACCAGGAGTGTGGATGCATCAAAATAAACACATCCCGTGGTGGGTCAGCAGCCCAAAGTGGCTGCCATACCAGTGCTAAGGCACGTTGGCATACACTTGACAGTTTCAAAGAAAACCATGCATTAATCTGGCACATAATAAAATTGTTGTTTAGTGTGTGTTTCTTTGATCACTTGAAGGTTTGGATTTTGTTTGGGGGATTTACCAGCCATTTCAATTCCATCATGTCAGGCTCCCTGGGTCACAGTGTCTCTGAGGTCAGCCTCCTATTCTGTCTGTTGATCGTTTTTCACATTTTCGCCTCTCCCATGAAACTCACATCTGATTCATCTTGTGATTAATATCTGGAGTAGTGTCGACTCCCATAATGGAGCATGCTCTTGGGCTCTCAAATCGTGCTTTGTGACATTCAGCTCATTGCTCTGGGGGCTGTAGGCAATAGAAACAGAAAAGATCCCTGAGCTTTTCATTTCTCCTGCATGCAGGGCTCCCTGCCAGCCACCTCTGAATCGCCACCAGCTTTTTCTCTGAACAAAATCCTGTCCACTGCTAAATATAGTTTTTGTAACACAGTAGTAGAAAGAAGGTGCTTTCAATTTTTAACTCTAGACTGAGCAAGGAGCAATTTGCATAACAAGCAAAGTCAGCCATGTATGAAATCTGGTCTCCTTCATTGAGCCAATGACATTAAGGATCAGGGAGATTAGGTGACCCTTTCCTGTCATACAAGCAATGAAATTCCAGTTATCCAGCAATGAATTCCAGCTTTCAGTAGGTGCACTGTCCACCCCCAGCCCCAGGTCTGAGTAAACAGATCATTCCTAGGTACGAACAAGAGACACTTGGTTCATACTGGTGGGAAATGGCATCTAGATCCTGATTCACCAGATCAAAATGAGGACACCAAGCAACAGAGAGATCTCTTTCTGATTTCATATAATTTTGAAATTTTAGTCACTTTTCTCAACTGGAGACTAAATCCCTTCTGAAAATGATCCTGACCACAAACCCTCCAAGTGATACTGTGGCACTCTCCACACACCAGAGACTCCTCACTGTGACTTAGTGGCAAATGCAAGTGGCTTTGGGGACCAGGACAGTGTGTCAAGAGGCTGGGGTAGGACCAAAGGCAAGCCATAAGCAAAGGCTTCATCCACTGTGTTCACTGTTTCATCTAAGGACCTGGAGCATAGTCTACACACCACAAGTCCTCAGTAAGAGGTGCAGAATAAGTGGCAGGGACTTCAGAGAACTGGGAAATGTGTAGCTCACAGAAGGCATTCTTGTCAAAAAGGAAAAAAAAAGCATTCTTGTCAAAAAGGAAAAAAAGCATGTCAGTTTGCATGTCTTACAAAGTGTTGTCTATGGACAGAATGGGACAATCACTCAGTGCACTATTGATGTCCAACCTACCCTTTGATATCATATTTTTAGTTGAAGTTAGAGTGCAGATCCTTCTACTCAAATGTCTTTCAGGTTCTTCCCATTAATAACCTTGGCCCTTTAATGCCCCTGGATTATTAAAAACGTGTGTACATTCTCACACTATCCATCATCCTAAGATGGCTTAACTTTTTTTTCCCCGAACCTCTTAGTCATGTGTCTTTCTTTCCAAAAGATATGCAAAGGAATTTCATCTACCAAACAAGGTGCCAACTTTCTAAATACATACCTTATTTGCTAAGAGAAGGATCACAGATCCGTTTTCACACCTACAATGCTGACTTTTCTAAAATGGACACAAGCAAACAGAGATGGCTAATTCACACCAAAATCATTTTGAACCCAACTCATCTCCAAAATCTGCCACATCAAATTATAGGGTCCTGGATAGGGGAGACGCCCTCTGCAGGTTTTTCCGAAGGTGAAGCATCACACTGGCTCTTTCCTTGGACGCTGTCCTTGTTCAGATGGGTCTGCATGGTCTTCCCTTGATCTCATTCCCCTGACAACCCAGATACAAATTTTTTAGTATGGAGCAAAGCCCCTTGAACCAAAAGGAACACAGCTGTCAGGTCTGACATCTGTTGTGGGACAGGCATATTAGAAAAGAGGCCTCTGGGCACTTGTGCCCTCACCCAAGGGTAGGAAACCATGTGAAACCATGTGCACCCACGTGGAAGGCCAGAGGCTTCTAGCTGTGAGCTCAGCCGCGAATTTATCACTTAACCCTTCCAATCTCCTGCAGAGTGGGAGGGCTATCAGAATCCCCCTCCAGTGAGACAAAACATACAGTAGAATCCACCTAGAGAAACAAAGTTGCCAAAAATCAAGCTATATGTACTATTAATACTTTGGACAGGATACATGAGTCACATAGCCCACCAAAAGCATTACCATTTTAGGTCACCTTGAAACACTTTGCTGGTGAAACAAAAGGGCTTGTGGACACTATTTGACACCTAATTTACAAACCCTATGATGGGGTAAACAAACCTGTTTGCAGATGGAAACCCTGACTGCCAAGCAACATTCAGCTCCATTTATACATCTCAGCAGGATGCTATGTGTTCTGATAAACTCAAAGATTGCAGATGATTCTTCATGGTTGAAATGCCTCTACTGCACTAATGACCTGAGCCCGGTTCTGGGATGATTGTAATTTTGAACCCAACTCATCTCCAAAATCTGCCACATCAAGTTATAGGGTCCTGGATAGGGGAGACGCCTATCTTACGTTGAATGTAAAAGCTGGAAGTGACCTGTCAGTTAGGAATATGTTCAGACACAAATAACAGGAAACCTAGGCAACAGTGGCTTCAACAGACAGGGAATTCTATTCTTAATTTTTTTTTCATGCAACCAGATATGCAGAGGCTGGTGGTGGCTCCCTAGGGTTTAGCTAATCCACTGCTGTCTGGACCCTGCTCTCTCAGTCCTTCTGCTCTATATTACTCAGCCCTGGGCATTTATCCTCCCTCTTATTGGCTCATGAGCTGCTTATCTATCTTCAAAGCAGAAACAAGCTGAGGTAGGAGGGGTCAGGTGCATCTATTCCCTTGAATAGGAAAACAAAGGCTTTTCTAGAAACCCCCTCAGTGGGCTTCCCCTTCAGGTTCAGAGGTCAGAACTGTGTCACATGACTTTCTCAAGGGATGCTGGGAAGCAGGGTTGTTCTCCTGTTTGCCTCTGTGGGAGAGGAAAGCAAGTGAGAATAGGCTTGAGAACAGGTATGTGAATTAGCACGAGTGCCTCCCACAGGGCCGCCGTGGAATCCTTTGCCAGGACTTCAGTTGATTCAGTATTCTCAGTGCTCTTTTTTATACTCCATTCCTCTCCGCACAGATGACATAGTGGGTTCTGGAAATGGAAAGTAACAGTAATGTGGCCAAGTTTCCATTACCAGAGAAGTTAGAGCCCGACCTGGAGTCCAGGTCTTCGACTCCTAGTCCAGATAGCTGCCCTCAGTTCCATACTCTTTGTGTGATTTGAAGTTCTATTGAGGAAGTAGACTATCATCCAGAAAAATCAAGTAATGGATGTTAAACTATCATCAATGGGCAGAGGACAGGCAGCTTCTACTTCCTCCCTCCGAATCGGCAGTAATTCACTTTTTATCTTCTCATCCCTTTGACACATTGATGTTTGTGTGTTATTACAGAATCGAGCTCAGGATGAGTGCCACGATAATGTAGAATTTCTGTGTCATTGTTAATGTGCTGTTCTTGTCTTCTGTCCCCTTCTGTTATTGGACCAAACAGAAGTATTCTGCTGTTTCTCTCTGCAACATCTCCACAGAAGTCCTGAAAGTCATCAACGCCACAGAGGAGTTGATAGCAGAGTCTACAGGGCCCTGGGAGCTCCCACCAGTCCCTTCTGACCGAGAAAAGGGGACGTTTCCTCTTGGGACAGACCAAGTGAAACTGGATGAACAGCTGACTTCCCTGGAAGAAAACGTAAGAGGGCGTGGGTGTGCCCAGTTTAGGGTGAAGGTATGCAAAGGAAGAAAATGGTGATGCTGTAGACCATCACGGAGCACAGGACACACACACCACCAACACCGTGACCTGTGTAGTCTCAGGAAGTGGCTTAGATAGGGTTCCCCGGAAGCAGATCCTGAGATGAAGATTTGATGCAAGTGACTAGCAGGGACATTCTCCCAGGAGAAGCTGGCCAAGGAATTGTGAAGGGAAGGTAAAGGGGAAAAGGCAAACAAGGGTGTGATCTTAGATCCAGAGTAGCTTCAGCCTGATTCTGCCCTGGAGCTCTGAAGTGTAATGCGTCTCAGAGTTGTCCTGATCTAAGGCAAAGGAATTGGCACTCCCTCCAGCCAGCAGGCACATTGGTCTCTGCACCCAGGCAATGTGACTCCAAAGGAAGTCCTCTGTAAGGACTTAAGATGTTGATAACAAAGGCACACTGAAGTTTAGGGACAGGGATGGTATTTTTAAAATCATTCAATAGCACAGGTTAAAATATAATGAGGAAGACTTTAATAAAGATGATGGCAATAGGTATAGGGACCACTGCAATGGGGTCTTCCAATGAGAAGGAGAGATTGGGCTCTGCCACTAGCTCAACTCTGAATATAGCATGGGCAAATGGGGGTTCATAGCTAAGGAGCAGGGTGAGAATCACTAGATAGAAAAGTCACTAAAAGGAAAACTCAGATGTAAGAGCAGTTCTAGCTAAATCCACAGGATTCTTGCTGAAGACAGTCGAGGGAAGACTGGACATCCCCTGGGAGATAAAGGGGGAGGAACCTAATTAGATATTGAGATGATCAGATCCCAAGATGGGGGATTCTAGCTAAATTAAGCAGGATTCTTTTGCTAAAACTGGATTTTGTAAAGAAGTACACAAATAGGAGAAGGTTCAGAGCCTGACTAAAGTTTGGCCAAGCAAAAAATCTTGGTCAAGGGAAGTATGTGGAGAATACGAGATCCAAGGAGATCCAGATGGAATATTGGCAGTTACCACTGCAGGGAATGAGGGTTGCTGCCAAAAGAGGCCCCGTCATTACACCTGCTTGGCTCTGCTCCCCTAACGGAAGACACCAACACCAGATCCTGTCTCTTACTGAGCCTTCATGTGCCATTAAAAGCAGGAAGCCTGCCGCCTTTCTCCTGAGGCTTCCAGTTCACTCCAGAGTTACCCAAGTACTCTGAGAACTGGGGAAGACCCTGCTGCACCACCTGCATTACCTTCTGACCACACACAGATCCCAGACTCTGCCGTCACTCCCTTTCCACCTCCCTACCCCTTTTCTCAACCTACCTGTATGATCAAGAGGAAAATGCCTAATCCCAAGTATATTTTAAAATATATATTTCTTCTCTGGAAAGAAAATACTTAGTGCAATACTTAGCTCAAAATAAATACCCCATAAACATTAGATATTCATATTTCAGGTATGTCACCAACCAATTTCTAAAATATCATGTTAAGCCAGACACGGTGACATATACCTGTGATCCCAGCAAGTCAGGAGGCTGAGGCAGGAGGCTCACAAGTTGGACACTGACCTCAACAACTCAGTGAAACCCTCAGCAACTTAGCAAGACCCTGCTGCAAAATAAAAAATAATAAGGACAAGAGATATAGCTCAGTGGTAGAGCTCCCCTGGGTTCAATCCCTAATACCAAATATAAATAAATTATGTATATATTTATACATACGTATATAGTATGTAGTTATGTATATATGCAATTTATTATATGTAGTTGATAAGTTTCATAATTTATTATATATGTATGTAAATATGTACATTCACACACACACACACACACACACACACACATACATACATACATACATAAATCTCCCATTAAACTACACAAAGGAATAAGTTGTTAAAAGTCATTCCAGCTTTCATAACAGATGCACTTTCTCTCATTCTAGGACAAGTACACATTTGCTACTTTCAAGAAAAAGACATCTGAGAAAGAAAGGAAGTAAAATAAGTCTCATTGGTGATTATACTTTGCCAAAAAATCATCCATTTTTACTGCAGTGTAGGCGGGGTGGCAGGGAGTGTCCCCTGCCTCCTTCATCCTGTTTGTACGTGATGGTCTACGGAGGACCCTCCGTAGGCTCTGGGTCTTTGGTGGTGCCAGCTCCTCCATTGCCTGAAAAGAGCCTGCAGGAGAGTCAGGACACAGGGGAGGAGTGGGACCTACCCGGCTTCTGCAAAGGAGGGTGTGGTTGGGGGGGAAGGTGCAGATACATCTGCCAGGAACTGATTTTTCTACACTCCTACTTGTGAGAAAAGAAAGAAGGAAAAATTAATTCTTGCATATAAATATCCACAATTATTGCTGAGTATTTTCAGCACATGTCTGATGATGAGAATTTTCCAATACTCTAAACCAAGAGTGACACAGAGAGATCAGGACATTAGCCACTCAGATCATAGTCACTGTCACCTGTGGATGTGCCCTTCCCACAAAGCTGTATCACACCCAGGCAGGTGATTCATCTTTCCAGTCCAGCAGAGTCAACCTTGCCTTTGGAGCATGACCGTGAATGCTCTTACCAGAAATCAGCAACTGTTAGTACAGGCATTTTTGAATAAAGTTGCAATGACAACAAATCAAAATGACTCAAGGTGAAAAATGCCAGTATTCATATCACTTTTAAAAGCTGAGAACTCTCTCCCCTTGGACTCCCATAAAAACCTAAGTGTTTGTCTTTCTGGCTACATCCCTCACTTTCCATCTTTCTGCTCATTCCTCTGACTCCCATTAGACCAGCCCTATTGACATTTTGGATTGAATAATTATTTTGTGAGGACCTGTCCCGTGCATTGGAGGCAGTCAGGCAGCATACCTGGCCTCTGCCTCTAAGCTGCCAGTAACAACTCCTTCCTACTCAGGGCAATCAAAAACATCTCCAAGCATTGTCAAAACATTAGGGGACTGGAGAGGGGGCAAAATCAGCCCCAGATTGGAAACCAGATACACAAATTCCTTCAGAACAAGATCTGCTGTCTTTCTCATCTGTCGCCTAGTCTTCAGTTCAGAGCCTGACACAGCCAATGTTTACTGATGATTGCATCAGATGAATGAAGCCCTTTAAAAAAATAAGAAAAAGAAAGAAAGAAATGTTTTATTTCAGATGTACAGGGGCTCTGTTCTTTAAATGTATCTGTGTGACATAGTTTCTTTTAGTGCCGATGGTCCTAAGACTCACAGAATAATTGATGAGATTAAAGTAAAATATGATTCTTCAGGAAAGCAATGTTTTTTTCTTTTTTTTTTTTTTTACAAAGTATGATAGCTGGTGCATAATTCCTGTAACACCTCAATTTAAATGACAATGGTCAGTTTTCACAGTACACATAAAACACAGTGGGCCTTTTCTTTCCTCTCCAAGGAGCACACTGAAAAGTGTCTAGCCTGTGCTGAGTTTTCTTTTTGTAAGCTCCTTTTATTGGACACTATGGGGGGATTCATTAACATTTTTTAATATATATATATATATATATATATATATATATTTTAGTTGTGCATGGACCTTTATTTTATTTATTTATATGTGGTGCTAAGAATCCAACCCAGTGCCTCACTCATGCCAGGCAAGTGCTTTACCACTGAGCTACAGTCCCAGCCCTCCTTAACATTTTCAATTCAAAACACATTCACTTAGGATTGATTCAAGAGGTCAGAAGACCCAGCAGGGTCCTGTGGCTCAAGGCTGGATTTGGAGTTGACTGCACCCCAATCCAGCACCTTCCATGCCACTCCTGTTCCCTGTTAACTGCCTCCTTCTCCTCCTCCTGCTTCCCCATCCTCCAGCTTTTCAAATCTCATCTCTGAAGAAACACGGTCTAGGTTCCTTTGAATTCTGAGGATGTTTAATCAGAGAAGGGATGACTTTTCCTTTGTCTCTTTAATTCACCAGATCACAGAGTCCTGGGCAGGTTGCTCCGTCGGTCTGTCTCCAGGTTGGAATTGAGTTGAGCAGCAGGAGGCGGCCAGAGCGGGTTCTTAAACTGGACTCTGGGTGCGGCTGATTTAATTAAATCCTGGCTTTTGTCCATCTGCGTTGTTGTAAAGAGCTCGCCTTCATTCCTTAGCCTCCGTCTACCTGCTGGGGAACCAGGGACTGTCAGGAATAGAAATAGCCACACTATTCTCTCCTGAACCTTGGCCACCGAGTGCCAGGACTCAGATGAAAGAGAACATTTGGTTGAGAATATTCACCTTTAAAAAATGCTTCTGAGGCTTTCAGAGCTGCATAAGATAAAGAAATACCACATTCATATATGCAGTCTACAAATGTTCAGAACTGCTGTTAGCCCACTTAATTAGAGGGGGGATGGGAGTTTTAGATCCTGGAGCCTTTCAGCTTTGACTCCTCTCTCCTGCTGCCTGGTGTTAGGTATGAAATCAGCTCTTGTCTCCCCTAAAGACAGCAATGACCTGTGCTAATCCTAACCTGGCAATAGCTCACCATGGGGGCTCGGCTCCTGGAGCAGAATGCCTGAGTGTCTCTCTCTCTCTCTCTCTCTCTCTCTCCTGGTATTTTAAATTCCTGCTGTGAAGAGTTCTGTTGTACTTGCTCCGGTCTGGCTGGGAGAGGAGCGGTTCAAGAGGGCACTAGTAAGTAAGGCGAGGACAGAGTGACAGGATGCCACAGGGTCAAAGGGCAGGGGTGGAAGACAGTGGGACCACTCCTCAGGCAGTGTAACCAGAGCCATTGGAGACCTGGAGTGGGAAGAGGAGAGGCTACCTGGAGGAAGCGCTGACCATGGAAATGGGCTTCCACCAGAACCTTGCTGCCTACAGGGAAAGAAATGTTTTCAACTTCTTCCAACTCCTACCTTTACTCTCCGGCTGGTGTCTGCCATTGATCAAAGCCATCCCAGCCAGCCAGGGAGCCAAGTTCACATAAGTCAATCAAACAGGGAACAAAGCAAGACACAGAAGGGTAGAAACAGACCTAGGAGATCAGCAGAGAACAAGAACAACTATTCAGATGTCAGGTGTGACTAATAGCAGCAGCTGCCTTATGGATTCACACAGGGCTGTGAGTGGGAGAGATGAGACAAGCACCAACCTCATTTTCATCTTTGCTGTATGACACAAGCAACTTGGTGTAACCCATACTCCCCAGCCACAGAGGCAGTGGGGGCAGTCCCAGTTTCCTTGTAGCTCTGCCCCATATTGCCTCAGGTAATATATAATAGTGGTCTCAGATGCCGTGGAACTGTACCATGAGAGCCAAGCTCTGCCACCAAGTCCAGGACCCAGCAGAGGATGGTGGTCCTCCTTCTTAAGCTCTGTGTAACACTGACAGCAGCAGAGAGGATATAGAACTCGTGTGGGTGGTCATGGTTACTCAGGTGCTTCTCTGCCCCCAGAGAGCAAGAAAAGAAACACTAGCAGTTACTATCTTATCTTCGTCCCCTGAAGTGTATTTCAGGGAAGCCAAGTCCAACGAGATGCATCTCGAAGGCCAAATAAGTTTGGGAAATTTGCATATTCCCTCCAGGAAATTGAGATATGTATTAACCCCTAAGTCCTGCAGTAAAGAAATCTGGTTAGTGCACTTTATTTTAGGGCATTTGACTATGAAGTCCTTCCTTAATGAAATACCTATTTGCATACCCCAAATGACTTTGAAAGAAAGGCATGTTGAACTAGGAGCCAGCCAGTGGGGTCACCAGTGGCTAGAATTCGAAGAGGATATAGATTGCTTAAACAAGATAACCATAGTTCTCAATGAATGTGGACCTTGACTAAGCAAGCAACTGCAGGTGAACATTCATCTGATTGCTAGAATAACGTTTTCATGTGCTTTCCATTTGTTATCACATGGCATGTAACTTCTGTCTTTTCAAACCAGCAACAGAGCCAATATCAAGCCCATCTAGAACCACAATAACTGTAGTATGTTTATGCTAAAATTTGAAATTTAGAACATAGCAACATTCCAACTAAGATGAAGAAGCACTGCATCATAGGGCAGGGAGGGGAACAGGATCTGGGATCAGCCTTCTTGGGCTCACTTCCGGCTTCCACCTTTTCCCAGAGGTGAGAACTGGGAAAGTCACTGAGCTTTCCTAAGACATAAGATATTCCCATGTTTAACATAGTGATTGCAATGGTCCCTACCTCAAGGCTTGCCATGAGCATTAAATAAGATAAGTCATATAAAATCCTTAGCTCATTCCTGGCCCAAGAAATACCTGCCATCATCATCATCCTCACCATGACGACCCCCACCAGCACCTCCATCACCATCCTGCAGTCCTTTGGGCACCGTCATTACTCTGTCTGGAAGTCTGGCTGGAAGTTCCTGTTCAGCTGGTGTCTGTGACAAACCACTCAATGTCCCCTTCCTCCTCATGCCAGGAAAGCAGGTTTTTAGGAAGCACAAAGTAAAGCTGAACATTCTGGCCTTACTGAGGACTTGGAGCTATTTCATACTGTTTTGCCTTGGAAGAAAAAAAAATCATAACAGAAGAAATAGCCTATGACCATATTCAAAATGTGAATGGCCATGGGTGACTACAGTCCTACAGCATGATAATAATCGAGTTTTTCATGTTTGTGGTAAAATGAGGGTTCCAAGACCAAAGTCATGTTTATCCTTTGCCACACTTAAATTATTCATTTTGTTTAAGTAGTAATTCTAAAGTTTGTTTCACGGTTTAAAAATGTAAGTTTACACTTTAAAGTTATTAAGATAAATTTACCTTTTTATGCAGATAAGGAAAAGTATTGCAAAAGTATAATAAACTCCAAACTGCCCTGCCTTTCTCTCCCCACCCACCCCTCCTTCTTTCTCTCTTTCTCTCCTCTCCTACCTCCCCAGCCCCTCCGCGTCCCCCCTCCCTGCAACACCTGACTCCCCACCTTTATTTTTTTCTTCTCCTATCAAGGGAAATTTTTTTTTTACCTTAAGAGATATGTTTTTTGAAGAATTTCTCCACTTGAATTCCTTTGAAGCAGTCATCATTTCTTTCATTTGACAAAGAACAAGTGGCTATCTTAAACTGTGAAGATCTTTTAGAAACAGAATTTCCCTAATACAATAAAGAAATACAAAAGGATAAGCTGAAATGTGGCAATAGCAGCAGACGTTTAATTCACTAAGTCACAGCCCCCTAGGTGGCTGGGTAGTCATTTGATGTTGGTCCATTGTGTCCATCACTGCAAGAAGCTCCCACAGCCCAGATAAATACACCTGGTGAGGAGATGCAGTCAAATTCATTTTCATCCACCCTCTACCTGCTTCTGCTCCACTTTGAAATGTTTTGTAAAATTGCCAGTTTAAACACAGATGAATGAATCATGCCAAGGAACTGACAGAATAGGAACATCTCAGGGTTCTTTGCCTCCTCGCTGATACTCAGCCATCACTTGGTGCTTGACTCCTGTGCTTAAGCGTTTGGCTCTTCCTCAGCTCTGTTATATTTTTAACTCCAATTACAGGAACTGTTGAAGTCCTGACCAGGCACTTCATTCAAATCAACTCTAAACTGCAGTGATCATGTTTTAGAACTTTACATACATCCATCACACCTCCAGAACTTCTCTTTAAGTACTTTCCTTCTTTAGATACATCTTGTTCCCGTGTCATGGGCTATTTCACCAACATTATTGATTAGGCTGAGAAAGTGTTTGTCACAAAAATTCCCACTGACTGGCATCCTTTTGTCTGAATTATTCCAATGATTCTACTTTCTGTTGGTCCACTTTCAAATTACTACCTGATTTGCTCATTTTCAGTAGTTCCCCCAAATTATCCTAATTGACAAATAGATTCTACATGCTTCTCTTTAACATCCCATTTTTTTCTAAGAAATGACGTTTTTCCCTACTATACCCCTTAGGTTCATTCTAATTTCCTTAACCTGTTTCAAATAAGCAGAAGGTCATTAGTCAGGCTCAAAATTTGTAATTATTTTAAGTCAGTTTCACCCCTTTCATGTTTTCTAAATTTTTCTCAATCACTAAATGCCAACCAAAACTCTTTTTCTTTTTTTTTTTTTTTTTGATACCAAGGATTGAACCCAGAGGTGCTTAACCACTGAGCCACATCCCAGGCTGTTTTTTTAATTTTTTATTTTGAGACAGGTTCTCACTGAATTGCTCAGATCCTCGCTAAGTTGCTGAGGCTGCCTTTGAACTTGCAATCCTCCTGTCTCCACCTCCTGAAAGGCTGGGTGGTGCACCACCATTTCTGGCCAACCAAACTCTGAGAAAAAACCCATCACAAGTTTTTCTCTTGATACTGGTTTTTATAAATCACTGGACAAATTCATAATTTACATAGCTCATTCTACGTATTTTTGTCCTGTATTACCAAAATCAACTTGCAAATTGTTTTTCCTTGCAGGAAAGTTGGAGGGGACAGGAGGTATGCTTGACATGGGGGTGACAAGATCTCATGCTACCACTTAAGTGTGAAGAATATTTATAAATGGGGGTTCCCATTCCTTTCCTCCAGTATTGAGCGCAGTTCTCTCTCACTTCCTTGAATCACCGAGGTCCCCTGAAGGAGTCCCACCAGAACCAGCTCTGCAGACCTGATTTCAAAGGCCATGTTCTCTCTCCAGGTGTACCTGGCAGCTGGCACTGTGTATGGGCTGGAGGGCCAGCTGAGTGAGCTGGAAGATGCTGCCCGCTGTATCCACAGTGGCACTAATGAGACTGAGTTGGAGGCTCTGGAGGACCAGGTGGCGACAGCTGCAGCGCACGTCCACCATGCTGAGCTCCAGGTGAGAATTCTCCTTTCTGTTCAGAGTGGACCTGCAAGGAAGAAAAGGCCCTTCTTGGTGGAGGATTCCACCAAATCCACAACCTTCTACTCTCCCAAATTATGACTGTGTTAACACATCAGATCTCCTTTAAAATCTTATACTAGTTTCCTCTTGACAACTTACCTGGACCTCCTTTCTTTTTTTTTTTGGTAGGGATTGAACTCGGGAGCACTTGACCACTGAGCCACATCCCCATCCCTATTTTCTCTCTAAATAAAAAATTGAGTTGCTTAGCACCTGGCTTTTGCTAGGGCTGGCTTTGAACTTGCAATCTTCTTGTTTCTGCCTCCTGAGCCACGGGGATTTCAGGTGTGCACCACCACACCCGGCTCTGGATCTTTCTATGAAGATTCCCATGTAATTCCAAGGCCCTCACCACACTTTGCTTGCTCAAAGCCAGTTTTCCCCATCATAGACTAAAAACCCCATGAGGACAGGACTATAGCTGACTAGCTTAACTTAGCAACTCCAGTGCCTAGCACAACATAGGTGAAAACACTTGGTGAAAATGGGACGAGTAAATGACTGTAATCAGATAAATAGGTTTCTCAGGCCAATATTTTGCAGGAGGAGTAGGCAGGATTTAGATATGGTTGTTTCAGAATTGACCCCTGTAGTCTCTATAACTTGGTGAAGATGATTGTTGACAGTTTTCTTGGATATTCTCTTGATCTTTGACTATGAATCAGAACTGATCATGAACAGAACAACTAATCCTCAAACTGGAGTTTGTGGACATGCTCTTAGGAGCCCATGTCAGGTTTCTGTTGTTGTTTGTTTGGTTTTTTTTTTTTTTTTTCCTTTAAAAGGAGCCCATATGCTGCTCAAGTTTCAGAAACACAGATCTCTGCAGCATAACTTCAGTACTAGACCCCTGGTTCAAAATATTTCTATATTTTGCATCTTAAAACCGCATCTTTGGTAGCATTGTGGTCAATAGACACCAACTCAGTATTTGGAAGATGCTGCTCCTCTGAGTACTGGCTTTTGACTTCCAGACATAGAATCCAACCCTGAGCTCTTTGCTTTGACTCCCAAGAAACTCAGAGCTGAGTTGGTCTACCCTTTTAGCAAGTGTATGGCTCATTGAGCATGCAGTCTTAAGATAAGACACAGGCAAAACCAGCCGTCAATACTTTCCTTTCTTCTCTCTTTGTTCTTTGTTCTTCTGGACTAAAACTTGATCGTTTTAGTGCTTCTTACTCCAGAACCTGATAGTCAGCAAATTAAAGGCCAACACAGTGCTTTCCCATTGACCTTATCTCTGAGGACTCTCTGAGAAAGCCCTTCATCAAAATTGTTTCCAGAGAAGAATTTGATCTTCTAATCCACATCAGTTGCAAAGACTGATAAGAGCTTAACCTGAAATTTTTCTCAGAGACTTGTGCAATTTATTGACCTATAAATGAAAGGAATGCAGCTCTCAATATGAAATTTGAGGAGTCAAACAGGAAGGCATCTGGGGTGCCAGGGAGGGGCAGAGCCTCACAGTGACTCCTACTGGAAGTTGGCGGTCGGTGAGCTTAACTTGCATTCTTTCACCAGCTATGACAGACTTGGTCTTCACATACCTCTTCTTCCTTGTCTAACCAAGACTGCCTGCTTTGGGCAGGGGGTAAGGGAAGCATCTTCCATATTAACTGACTCTTCAGGTTTCAACTATGCACCTCCTATAGCATCTTATCCCTGTAGATTTTGTCCAAAGATGCCCTCAGTAAATGACAGCAGAAGTAAGATTTGTCTTGAGCAGCACAAATTGTAGAGGGACTGGGGAGGCACTGCGGTCTGGGAGTGGTCCACACACACATTGGCTGGTGGCCTGCCTCTGGCTACCTATCTGATGCCCCAGCAACACCCAGGTAGCACCATCTCAGCAAAAGGTCTGTGATTCCCATCTCTCCCCTCGATTCCGTGGTATGCTGTTGGGTATGTCCCTTAGTCCTTTGAGCCACAGTCTCTCCGTTTGTAAAAATAACAGTAAAGAAAACAGTCACCACTTTCTAGAATTATTTTGAAGCATAATGAGTTCGTGTATTTAAGCACTTATCATAGTGCACTTTTCTAAGAGCAGGGACAGTGCCTTCTTCATCCCAGAGGAAGGGGAGGATCAGTGCTCTTCCTGGGCACTGAGTGAGCTCTGGCTCTCTACATCTGCCTTCAGAGTCTTGGAAAGAAATCTGAGCTCTCTGACCTTCCCATGTTGCAAATGAGGAAAGTGATGCCCAGAGAGAGGAGGGAACTTCTCAAGGCCACTTGGCCCCTGAATGGAAGAGATGGTTTTTGGACTGGGATCTGCCGGGCCTTGCCTCTAAACCCTCATACTGTGGCTTTGGATTCATAGAATTATGGAAGAAGAAAGCAAGATCTTTAAATTATACTTGCCCTTTAAAGTTCAAGTATTGCCTCCTGTGGAATCTGAATAAGTATTTTTTTTTTTATGTTTCTGTAACAAAATAACTGAGGCAGAGCGCTTTTTTACAGAAGTTTATTTAACTCACCATTTTGAAGACTGAAAGTCCAAGAACAAGTAGCACCATCTGTTTGGCCTCTGGTGAGGGCCTCATGGCAGATGGCATCACAACACCAGAAACACAGATGCAGAAGAGATCAGAGGGTGTAATGGTTTGGATCTGGTTTAAATGTGTCCCCCAAGGGCTTATGTGTTGGAGTATTCATTTGTTTGCTATAAACGCAGAACACTTTTTGTGTATATGTAACAATTGACCCCACTATTGTGTATAATTAGAATGCACCAATTTTTTTAAAAAAAATCTAAAAACTCACAACACTTTTAACAAGCATGACCCCCAGTGTGGCAATGTGGAAAGAGGTGAGGCCTAGTGGGAGGTCCTTGGGTCCCTGAGGGTGCTGCCCACAGAAGGAATTAAAGTAATTCTCATGAAATCCCTGAGTCAGTTCCCTTCAGAGGATTGTTGTAAACAGAGCCAGCCTGGCTCCAGCCATCTTTCTCTAGCTTCCTGTCTTGGGATGTAATATATTACTCCCATACATGTTCCCACTGTTATGACATCATTTCATATCCACCATCATGTGACTCAGCCAAGAGGCCCTCACCAAGGTAAGCTGATCCCAATGCCATGCCTTTGGCTCTCTAAAACTATGATCTAAATGAAACTCTTTTCTTTATAAAGCTAGCCTATTTCAGGCATTTGGGGATAGTAATGAAAATAGGCTAATATACAGGATGAAACAGGAAGCCAGTGGGACTCAGGATTGCTTTCTTTAAATAACAGTTCACTTTTGTGGAAACTGACTGGGGTCCTGTAAAAACTACAACAGTCCCTTGCAAGGGAAGCGCCCCCAATGACCTAACCAACTTTCATTAGGCTCCACCTCTTAAAGCTTCCTCCACTACCTCCACACCACCACACTGAGGACCAAGATTCCAGTATGTGAAGCTCTAGGAGACATACTCAAATCATGTCCAAACCATAACAGAAGTCTTCCTTGACCCTTCCTCCCCACCCCATGCCGATCTAGGTGGCTGTAGGCTAGCTCTCCCATAGTGGCCTGGCTTCCATTTATCCCTAGGCATACTCTGACAGAGTTATTAACACACTCTAGAGCTACCAAACTAGCAATTTAAATTCATAAAGAAAATTTTGTATTTTATCTTCTCATTGCAACACTAAATAGAGAAATGCTTGGTAAAAGTTGGATGGATGAATGTGCATGCATCAAAGCAGATGTGTTCTTTATAAACTCCAAACGCTTTTAACAACGATTCTTTCTGTACCTTCTCCCCACCGATCCTATCTTTCTGTTGCATGAAGATTTCTGATATCGAAAGCCGGATTTCAGCCCTGACCATTGCAGGCTTAAACATAGCACCGTGTGTGCGCCTCACAAGAAAACGGGATCAGAAGCAAAGGAACCAGGTGTGTTTGTCCCTTGCTCCCTCTGGTGGAACATTGCATGAGCTGGATAGTTCAAAAGATAAAATATCTTTGGCTTTACCAAAGTTGTATTGATTGCAGTGTCGTGTTTGTAGGTACAAACCATAGACACATCAAGGCAGCAGAGGAGGAAACTACCCGCTCCGCCAGTGAAAGGTAAGCTCAAACCAGAACCACAGAGCTACCAAAGGACGAAGGCTGAATTGTTTCCTTTGAGTAGCTCAGAGATCTGAGTTTGAGGACCAGATACAATGGGGAATTCGCACCCATCTTTGTCCTTATCTTGTCTTTGCTTCTGGTCACCCCAGAAGCAAACACTGGGACAAGTTTAGGAATACAAGTTTATTTGGGAAGTGGTTCCAAGGAAGCACTGGTGCAGAGCAGGAGATTCGGGGAAAGGAAAGACAGGAAGCCAATACAGGTTAATTGGTAAGTTATTACTTCTTTGGGCAAATGAAGCTAATCCTCCTGGGGACCTCGGGAAGACAGTGTTGACTGCACCTCAGAGCTTCCTGCCTACAGGGTAGGAAGATGGTGTGTTCGACCTTCTGCTCTCATTCATCATGGCTGAGGGATACATCCGGGTGCATGAACTTCCTGGTACTTCTGAATCTGCCAAGAGAGTGGTGGTGCTTGCAATTGGATGCTGTTAGAATGTGCTGGAATGGTGACCATTGGGAAGAAGTACACAGGACACCAAAAGCATCTTCCACAGTGCCCCACCAGGAAGGGATTCCAGTGATGCCAGTCAGATCACCCTGTGTTCACATTTAGCCATTTCCTTGGATTAAGGAGTCCATAATGATGATGTCAAATAGAAATTTGGATTTACAGTAGGGGAGTGGAAAGTCAGGAGATGTGCATTTGAACCTTGCTTTCACCTCTTGGCATTCAATAAATATTTATCAAATGTTTACTTTTATAGTCCATAAACCACCCCCCTATTTGGACAGTTAAAATTTATCACAGTTCCACAGTCCGTTAACTGAAACCTCAGGTCTCTTTGTTTTCCATAATTGCTTGTGTACCAAAAAGGGAACATGGTGTCCAGGCAGCATCTGACAGTCAAAACACAAATATCTTTACGGCAAAGCGTGAGGACATTCACAGTCCTCATGCTGGACAAGAACCTTCAGTGGCCACAAGTCAGTTCAGGTCAGGTTTTGCAAATCAGATGATTTTTGACTCCAAACTTATAAAAACGTGCAGATTTTACAGCGTCTTATATTTCAGGATTGCAAATAAGAATTTAGGGACTGTGGTGGTTTATCCCTGAGATACTTTTTCCCAGATAGCCACCCATGATGCCTTGACTTATTTGATCCATCATAAAAATAAAAATGTACAGGAAGGAAGTGCCAAGTCTAGGGGGAAAAAATATCTGAGTGATTTGACCTCCTCGTCTTTCTTCCTTACTAATCAGGCCATCTTCTGGGTAATGCCTGTTCCTTTGTGTTTCCTTTTAGCTGAAAAAATGGAGGCATCTTCAGTGACCACCATGAAAACATTTAACCACAACTTTATCCTCCAAGGCTCCTCAACCAACGAGCCCAAAGAAAGGAAAAGCCCCGCCAAGGATTTGATGGTAAATGTCATCATCTCTGTCCTGATGCCCTTCCTTTCACTCTTGATGGATCTCCATTCTGTAGTCTTCCTTCTGTGGCTCCTTTAACAGAGCCCCCAGGAAGCATCCTTTCTGCCTAGCCTCATGGCCTATTGGGTGTGAGGGGATAAGGGTCTAAGAGAGGGGGAATGACATCCACCTGGTGATGGTCACCTCTTCATTTATCTCCTCTCAATTATATCTCCAGCTCTTTGGAGAAACCAGGTTTGATATAAGAGAAATAAAAATATGTGTGTAAGGTCTGGGTGAGGTGTAGGAGTCCTTATTCTGTTTTGGATCCAGATTTACTCTTTCTTTAAATTTCTTGTTAGCCATTAATGTCACTTTCCTTAAGAGTCGGCACTGCCCCTAAACGTGGCAAAGGTGCGGACCGTAGACAATTTGTACCAACTCTAGAGATCATCGGGAGAGGGTTAAAGGATGATTTGCCTAAAAACCAACATAAGCATCAGAGTTTCAGCAGATGCTTAGTGCTGCTTGCACAGGAGTGGTGATCCTGCTAAGCTGCCTTAGTGACACTTGTTGCGCTGACGGCAGGTCACGTCTGGGAGGACAAGACTGAAGTGAGAGCAAACCTGCTCTGTTGCCTTCTGGGCATCACCGGCCTCTCCCTCCCTCTTCCCCTCCACCCTGCACAGTCCCTCTTGTGAACATGGAAGTGCCAGGTGATGGCATCATGGAGGACACAGCCATTCCAATGTGACCCCAAATGGCAGCAGAGCTGCTCGTCGCCCCTTCCATGGTCAGCCAATATCCCTGACCTTTCACCTTGTTCCTGCCGTTATTTCCAAGAGCCAAAAAGATGCTTTCTCATACTTAAAGGGCAGACCATGAGAGTCAGGGAAGGAACAGGTTAGAAAAAACATGGCTAATGACCCTTCATAGAGATCGCACGTAGGCAGTGGATGCTGGGAGCTGAGGAGGTGAGGAAGAAGAGGAAACTGCTGTTGGCTAAGGGGTGACTTTGGAGTGATGCATATGTATGAAAACTGGACAAAGGTGATGGGCGGACAACCTTGTGAACATACCAAAGCCACTGGATTATTTCCTTGTAAATGGTTAGTGTAATGTTGTGTGGCTCTCACTTCAATAGATTATTTTGAGTAAAATAAAAATAAATGGCCTTAAAGGAATATACACAGGTTAAAAATGAAGCAAGGCACAATATGCACTAAACAACACACACACACACACACACAAAAGAAGACAGGGCAGAAATATTACTTTCGAACAAAGTAGAACGGAAGACAAGACTTATTCAGAGAACATGCTGAGTAAGGATGTTTTGATTTTGATGAAATAGGAGAGTCACGAGCCCATCTTTCTGCACACAACAGAACAGCACAATCGACCGTGGTGGTTAGTGAGTTTAAAACTCTCCTATCAGCCTTTGGCAGTCCCAGTGCGCTGGAAATAAATACCAATTTAGAGATCTGAATAGGGTTGTTTTTTTAATATTTATTTTTTAGTTTTAGGTGGATACAATATCTTTATTTAGCTTTTATGTGGTGCTGAGGATCCAACCCAGTGCCTCATGCGTGCTAGGCGAGCACTCTACTACTGGAGCCACAACCCCAGCCCCTAAATTGGGTTGTTATTAAGCTTTGATTAAGACATTTTTCTAACATCATATTTTACAGATTAAATTCCTAATTTTCCATGGATCATTCATAAAAGTTGATTTCATACCAATTCACAAAGAGAACCTCAATGAATTTCAAAAAGTAGAAAGTGTAAAATCATTTCCTATGATCATAGTGCCAAACATAATCAATTTGCCAAGTGATTGATGACAGTGTGCTCCATATGTCACCTCAGGAGCCCGCCCTGGAGTCTGCTGCCCTGTATTAACGCCACCGGAGCTCCACTGCCAGTGACCCACTGCCTCCGGCCATACACAACAGTGCCTTGACCCAACAGCCATCGAATACCGTATGGATTTCCACCTGAGGAGAGAGCCTGGGGTGGCCACAGCATTCCACTGCACAGGGCTGTCCTGATACCTCACCCAGAAAGCAGCCTCAGACTTCAGCATTGCGGTCTTGCCCACTCTCTGCCTTAGGCTTCCTGGAGAATCCAAGACAGCAAACCAAGATGCTGGCTTCCAACGGCAGAGCTCCATGTTCAAAAGATGCACCTTTTCCTGGTTTGCTTTGCTACTATGTGTTGTCTGTAAAAATCTTTTTGTTTTTCAGTCCCTTTGATTCAATTAGAATTCTGTGTCAACCATTTGTCCCATGGAAAATTATTGGAGGCGGGTGGAGGGAAGGGAGATGGAGATATCATTTAATTCCTCATCAACATAACCAAATCTCTCACAGGCATCCTTGTCTTACAGATGCTAAGGGGAAAAGTGGAAAGGCCCCCGTAGCGAGCACTTAGGGCAGTGTAACTTGGGGGTCTCTCAACCATCAAGCATGCAAGTGTCCCTTAGCTACCTCCTCCTCACCCACCTCATTACCAGCGATTCCCCTTGCTTTACAGCCACAGGCCACAGAATGGAAAGCCCTGACTCGTCCCCATCATGCCAGGTCCATCTGATACAATGTCTCCTTAAGAATTTGGGGTTCCTCCACAGACTTACTGAGAGTGTCCTCACTCAGAAGAGGAGAAGGGGTGGAGGAAGACCACCATTAGCTCAGCTTTTTCTAGGGCAATGTCCAGAATCAACATGACTCCGTTGAGCAATGGCCGCACCTCAGTGAGTTTTGGGTAAATGAATTCTTGCAAAACATAACCGCGTACGAAAACTTGTGTCATCCAAAATTGATTTCCTAATGAATATTCAGCACAGTAGCAAAATGATCTTATGGATTTAAAAAAAAAATGGTTAGGGAATAGCCTTAGAAAATTTGAAAGTATGAAAAGAATCAAGAACAAACTGAGTTTAAGGGACACAAGAACTGACACTCACTGCATGTTTATGGTCTGTTTGAATCTGACTCAACTGCATGACTATTCAGAGAGTATTTATACAAGCAAGTGGAATTGGAATTTCACTCAATTAATTGGGCATTAGCAACACGTTTACATGTTTTTAAGTGTTTGCTCCTCATTGATTATGGATCTGAAGAAGGAGGCAAGGGAATAGGGTGACTAGAGTTTATTACATGCCAGCTCTGAAGAAGGCAATGTTCTCATTTTAATCTCCATAGCATCCCTATTTCAGTAAGTATACCCATTTTTTAGAATTGATAACCAAGGCCAGAGAGGTTAATTTGCCAGAACCACACCTGTGAGCTAATTATGATTGGAATGCCTCCCAAAAGCCTGCGTTGTCTTCAGCCTCTCTGTTCTTTAGCTGCCATGTACATTTCCAGCCCCAACTGGCTGCCGAGTTGTGTGTCCTGATCCACTCCTGATGGGGGTCTCTGTATCTTCCAATAATACTCCTTGCTGATGCTGTGTATGTGTTATCCAACAGAAACGACTCCTTTGAAATAAGTAAATCTTTGGCTTTTTTGTTCTGTTGGTGTGATTCCAAGCAAAAACAAAAACAAATTTCAAAAACACAACAACAAAATCTGACTTCCAAATAGAACGTTTTCTTTAAGAGGCATGAAAAGCAACTATTGTTGTGTTCCAGTGTTAAACTCTTCAGTTTTCTTTGACAAAAACGTGTACTGTGTAAGCCTTGCAAAAAAAAAACAAAACAAAACAAAAAGAAGCCTGCTCCATGGCATTTGAACTTTTATAAAGGTTTCCTTGTGCCAAATAAGTGCAAAGATTTAATTTACTATTAAAAACCATAAGCATATGTTATAGTTCCAGAAGAATTATTTTGTCATCAAGTGATTTTGATCTTTAGTGTCAATATTTATATTTAGATTAATTTTATAAATGAAAATATTTTAATGGTTTAAGAGAATTAGGACAATATCTTTGATGACCTCTGAGATTTATGCTTGCCTTCATGTTATATGCATATTGCCAGGAACTACTGTCAAGAGAAATGATAAAGAAGTAAAAGTCATTTATGAAAATAGTTTGCATGTGTGTGGATTTTTGTCTGTTTCTCGGTTAAAGGAGCCCAGACAAAAGAGTAGAGGATAGAGAAGACAGGTGACCAGCAATTGCACTGATCCAAAAAGCCTGTCGCCCCCACCTGCCTTCCCAGTACACCACTCACCCATTGCAGATTCTTCTGATTTCAGTGACCACCTCCAATTGAGCAAAAAGAGTAGTTCTCAAGGAGGATAGTGTGATGTGATTTTGCACCCCCACCCCATTTGACAATATTTGGAGATATTTTTATGCAAATTAGTAGGAGCGTGCAGCAGCCAGTATCTACTGGGTAGATGCCAAGAGTGCTGCTGAACATCCTCCAAGGCACAGGACCGCACCTACCATGAAGAATTATGCAACCCAGAATGGCCATAGCACTGAGGTTGAGAGCTCTGCATTAGACATCAGAGGAGAAGCTCCACCCGCCAGCCTCTGTGCGGTGGGCATCATTGATCCAGAAGCCGGACAGTGCCTGTCCCCATCTGTTGCGGGGTGGGAGGAGGTTGTTGCACCTCTAAGGCTGGAGTGCCCAGAACATTCCAGCCAGACCCTGGCCCCTGCCCTCCCCAAATAGGAACAGGAACCCCCCACTAACCTGAAATGAATGAGTGTGAAAATACCAACAGAAGTCCACAGGTTTCTCTGTGGTGGGCTCAAAGGGTTGAAAAAGTTGTATTCTAACTGAAGGAGCTAGAGTTTAAAGGACGCTACCACACATCACAGTGTGCCTTTTTGTCCCCACATAAGAGAAAGGGCTGTCTCTTTGCACTGAGATATCTGAGGGAGACTGCTAGGCAAAGAGGAATTTGAACGTGTCCTTCACGGAGCAACAACCCAGACAAACACTAGCTACGGTGCCCTCACATAATTGAGGTAATCTTTCATTCAGACAACTTCCAGAATAATCAGAGGATTTAGGTACATCATGAGCCCCAACCACCAATGTCATGCAGCACAAGGTGAAAATCATTTTAAAGGTGTTGAAGGTAAAAACAGTGATCGGATGGGCTTGAGAACATTTATTTGTGAAGAGCTCATTCTGCAGACGTTGCTGCCCACCAACAGCATGGGGGGCAGGGGGAAGATCAGAGGCTGTGGATGCCTCTCACACATGCGCAGCTCCTCAGTGGAGACCAGAAGGAGAGACAGACGTACATCAAGTGTGAATCCCTGGGTCTGCTGAGGCTCTGTAGCTAGTGTGGTTCAGATTAGAGATCCAGGGTAAAGCTTGTTTGGTAACCAAATGAGAGAGAAAGGGCTACCCAATGACAGTCACATGCCAGGCACTAGTGAGTTCTCACACCGTGCATCTGTGGATCTTTATGGTAGCTCTGAGGAGGCCACAGAAACCTCATTTTACACGAGAAAAATTGAGACCCCATACCGAGCTGGTGAACCCTACAGTTCTTTCCAGAACCAACGTTTCCCTGAATAGATCATAAGGTTGTCTCAGATCTGGTTGAAATGAAACTTCTCTTAATATAAAGAAGATGTCTAAAAATACTAAAAGAAAACAAACACAGTAATAGAAAGGTGACAAGGATTCCCTCCTCGACCAAACTAAGCCCTCTTCTTGACGAGGCCCTGCCAAGCCCAGTACCCACAAGTCAGTTTCCTGAGAATCCCCCACCCTTGATATAAAGACACTTCCTCCCTCCTCACCCCTGACATCAAATCAACTTCCTCTTAGTAATGTTCCATCCACTGCTTCCCTCACCCTGTGAATTGGCTGTAAAATGAGCTGAGGGATGAGCTCTCTCCTATTGCAGTAGCTTGAATAAAATCTGTCCTGCCATTTTTAACAAATGTCCAGTGCGATTTCTCTTTGATGGGGGGGGAGGGTAAATGGGTCACTCTATATCCTTTAGAACCAATTGAATCCCGGAAACATATTATCTATTCAAAGTAGATAAGATAGAGATATCAAATATTTAAATGGGTTTTTGAAGACACAGACAAAGGAAAAAGAAAAATTCTTAATTCTCAAGATTTGAGTGAAAATACAGCAGTTTCAACCTCCAAAGTAGCTGGTGTTGAGGAATGAGGCGTGCATTATATGGGATGTACCACCATTTTCGTAAAATAATTTGACTCTAGACATCATTCCTGTCTATAAAAGCAAGTCTTATGAGACTCTCAGAAAGAATTATGGTTTTCCTTGTAATTTTTATGACTATTCTAGGATAATATAAACACAGATGATATTAATTTATAATCTATTTCTGGTTATCTGGCTCCCCACGATTAATCTAATGAAATTAACATCCACCTATAAAAGCATACACAGGCACACATAGCTTGTCTCTCACAGCATAAAAGTAGAATACAGATCTTCTTTTATGGGCATCAAATTAAGAGAGGGAGGGTAATTAAAAGTCCTGAAGATATGGTAGGTGGGAATCTGACTCCTTCAGATCAATCAGCTTAAACTGTAGGTATCCAGGCAAACTAATACCGTCACATAGCTTCAGATGGATATTCTTTAAATCTTTATTTAGAAGAGAGGCTGAGATTTGCAAACAGCACAAGCAGAGGACAAATGGAGCCTGGTGGTGATTCTGAACACGGGAACTTTGAGGATAGAAATGAGTCACATGATGATGAATATATAGGCAAAGCCCTTACTGGGGGCTCTGCTTGGGGAGGGAAGGGAAGTGGCAGGCTTTTTGCTGGAACAAAAGAAAGGAGCTGGTTTTACCGGCTGCTGGCAGGGGTGGGCTGCCGTTGAGGAATGTTCATTGGCTTTGGGTGCACTGCAGCCCGTGAGGGCTTTTTAACTTCAGCATCCTGGCCCTGTGACAGGGCTGAGTTAAAGTAAAAGAGCAAGTAGCAATTTAAGGGCCCCTGGCACCTCCTCTACAGCTTTACCCTTTGGGCACTGGAAGAGTTATGGCGAGGGCA